AACAAACGTATCATCTTCTTAAATCTTAAACTGCACATATGATATTACAAAGAACCACATCAGAAGTGGGACAGAATTAAGAGAGTCAATGAACCGAACACGGCTTATCTAGCAATGGTTGACAAGGACACCGACACTAGAAAAAATGTTTATGCCGGTTATCGTGGCCTGGCTTTGGGGTGGGAACATGGCGGCATTCAATTGTCTATACGGATAGAGGCAATGTATACGACTGTTGTGCAATTTAGCCTACATCTACAATGTCATAAATGCTCACTTGTCTTCTGGCGGAGAATAGAGCATACATTCGTTGCTCCAGTATGTGCCTCCACAAACACAGATGACGGCTTCTCCGCCAACTGCGACGGCGACTGCTGTATGGTCCGTCTTCCAGTGGCGAAGCGGCGCACATTTTGTCCATCCGCGTTCCTTCGTGTCAAATTTCCTAAGGTTCAAATAGTTGTCCTTTTGCTTGTTTCCTCCAATTACAAAGATGCAATCTATTTCGGGGGAAATGAGAAGCGCAGTAGAAAACTACACGAATGGAGGACTAATGACATCAACGGTAAGCATCGATTAGGTGAGATAAGTGTATTTAAACGCGACAGCAGGCCCTCTGTGAAATGTGTCAATGTTTGCATAGCTGGTGTCTTTCTGATATCCGCTAATTGCAAATACGCAATCGGTTTTGGGTTAATGAGAAGCTGAATGGGAAAAGGAGTGAATACATGATTAAACACTTTTGTGCAAAGTATCAATCTGCGCGTACTAATGACAGACGTTCGGCCATATCTCCATCACCATGTGTTACGGGAGGAAAGACTACTGCATTACTTTGGCCGCGACCATTCAAAATAAATAAAAACAGTAATGAGGCAACCAACAGTTCAAGTAAATAAGACTTACCCTCAATGGCCACAAAGGCCGCGTTCAATTCGTCCGTTACGTCTGTTAGTTTCTGTGTCGTGTTTGTGTCTGCATCGTACCAGCTCAGCAAACATTCCTCTCCGTTTTGGGACTTACCAAGCAGACAGATGTCCTCCAGTGGATTGTGGTGTTCCGCATTCAATAGACACTCACTGTCCGCTGAGCCACCTATTTGCCCTCTGGGCCTCTCATTAAATGGACACTGTCTATCACCCCTCGAGGATGGAGCGTCAATCCACTTGGTGATTCGACCTAGAAGTCGTCTTTAATTATTTTAAATGTCAAATGTTATCCGACAACTTACGAGCATTTAAAATTTTTATTCCAAAAGGCTTCATCATCATCTTTTACTCTGTATCGAAAGTCGGTGTCAACTTGATACCACCGCATTTCCTTCATCATAGCTGCCGCGTGCACCACTCGTGTTTCATCCACTTCGCCGAGTGGACTAACCCATCGTCCAATTGCCTCGAAGATACTTTCTTCGCTGTCTACCTGAAGGTCGTCTGCCCGCAACAGGGACAGGACAGCATCAGATGGCAGCTGTATAAAACAATCACTGGCGCCTGTTGCCTCAAAGGTGGCCTTGATATGTTGTAGGCAGACGTTCTTCAACTGGTCACTTTTCAGCAACTGTGCCAGTTCCCAGTTATGTGAAACGTTTTCAGAATTTAACCTGCGAGCTAATGATAACGCGAAAACCCTTACCTCGCGGCCATAAAACTTACAACCCATTTTTCCATGTGAGGCATTACGAGCTGTTGTGACAGCACAATCAGCCCAGCCACATTCGCTTCGTGGACTTCTAGCTGACCTGTGTATATATAATCGATGAAGGTCGTCGCGATTCTAGACAGCAGTTTTAATATTAAATTAACTAGTACTCTGATGAAACCGTTGGCCACTTGAGCACCACAGCCTGGCCTTTCGTAGGCGATTCGCACAGCCCATCACACAGTGAGGGCACCCGGGAAGCCAAGACAATCCTGTGTGCATGCACCTTCACGCTGTCTTGTAACTTGAAATGAGAAGAAAATTAGGGATTCATTAAGTACACATACCTCAATGGTCAAATCGGTGAGTTTTTTATCCACACGAAGGTTATTTAATTGAGGAAGGCAGTGTATTAGCGCAAGTTGGTCTTCAAACATCTGAGTCTCCTTGTGGGTCATTTTTGTACACAGAGCAAAGGTCTAGCAAGGAGATAAATGTAGTCAATCTTCCTTGCACACTTAAGGGATATGCATAAATTACCCACAGGGGCTGCCTGACTCCATCAGTAATTGATCAGTTTAAAATGAGTGGAATAAAACCTCAAATTGAGAATGAAAAGTTAATGGAGAATGTGGCTCTCTAAAGGGTGCTTTGGAGCACCAACATGGCAGACTGCATAAGTTAAGACTCTGATCATGTCTGACATCAATTTTATGTGTACATGTTTGCGTCGGAAGGGCGCAGCTGCATGTTTGCTGTGGACACCGTCGAGTGGGAATCCGGAGACGAAACAATTTATGTCCCACCATCTATGTAAACTAATCGTCTTACTGGCTCACATTTCGTGCTCTGATCTAATATATGTTTCGACTTAAATCCTGGGGCTTTCAATGTAGTTGGATGACTGTTGTTTGTGCCTATTTGACTCCGAATGACGATTTTATTCTTACTCAGACCGTTTAGACACATTTTGGAACAATTTACTACAGGTTGTCATCATGTGCGACGAAAAAGCAAAAGCTTCGAACCGCGTAAGCCAAGGAGATCATCTCCGTAACAGTAAGTAGTACCCACAGAATAGAACTTGACTGCAACATAATTCAAACAACGTGGTTTTATCCTGTTATGGTAGACATCGACCGACCATCTGAACGGATGGTCTGCCAGTGTGTGTTCAGGAGCTCTCAATATTCCATATTTGCTAACTTAAGCTAAAACAGCAGCTCCGTTTCTTTACCCCCTTTTACTTTGATCTTTGCCCTAAGATTGTCGGATTGAAACAAGCGGGTTATTTTTTTTTTGGTGTGTAATCAATGTAGCCTGATCAACCGCAGAAAAATGCGCGAAGCAATTGCACGTAAAACGTTAGCAGCGGTGGTGATTATTTAGATGGTTTTATAAGTTCTAAGAAAACCAATTCCCTGTCAGCTGAGATTCAAACTGTTTAATTTTTCATGCGAACTTATATCCAGGAAGGCCGATCTTATCAAGTAAAACGAAAGTAACCAGCTTCAGTAAGTTTCTGCCTTTATTGAAGATCGTGGGAAACATAGCATTATGCGTAAACTCTTCGCGCGCCAGTCAGCTGGATGGCTGCTCGCGCCAAGCGATCGATTCTGGTACAGTTTTTTGAATCTCTCCGGTAAATGACAAATTGAACCTAAAAGCATACTGGGACATGTAATCAATTTTTGATGAGAAGATTGATGACGTACACGGCGAACCCCGAGATCAGAAATGGATACAAGGCCTTTAACACAATATACTGTCTATGATCATGATATTGTGATCCTTGGAATACTACGATAGGCTAAATGGAGCACTAAATAAATTACACAACGACTGTATCCTTTTTTGACTCTACTGTTAGAGTGCGTTCGAGGTCTCGAGTAATTTCACCAAAGAATTAGCCGCATACTGAACGCGTAGCCTTGCGACGTGGGGATCTTAAATTGGAATTGCCATGAAGTCAAACAGCCCTCAGGTCAACAGCAGGTCGGGTCATTTTGAACGACGTTCAACTGCTGAGACGAAACTCAACTATCCCAACAGAGACGAATTTTGGACAAAGAACCTTCCGATTCTAATTGCAAAGGATGCCTTGCCATTGTACGCCACTTCAAACTGTGTTTATCTATTTACATGCACTAGTGGATGCATGTATATAGGGCGAACACAAAGGCAGTTGGCAACCAGAGCTAAGGAGCATTTGCCGAGTTGGCTTTTAAAACAGGATAATAGAACTCCTCGTTCTTCCATTACGGAACACCTATTGGATACGGGTCATTCTGTTGACCCTAAAACATCCTTCCGAGTACTTGTTCGGGCACGAACAACTCGTATCTTACGCTACCAGGAGGCAGCATACATAAGGCGGTTTAAACCTGGTCTATGTAAACAACTAAGCATGTGGTGGACCTAACCTTGCCGTGGTTGCACCGGCTCCCTGTTTACACACCCCCTTCCCACCTTTTTTGCCTTAGACGTTTTTACAGCGTTTTTGCTGCCCACAATGTTTGAATTTCCTACTTTTGTTTTTACAGCGTTTTTGCTGCCCACAATGTTTGAATTTCCTACTTTATTGATTGCCCCTTGGCTAACTCAAGTTACCTTGATGTTTTTGGATCGATTTTTCTGTATGAATTCAATTTCTGTAATTTTTCATTCGTTATTCTGTTTATGCAGCGAGTGGAAGCGGCTG